CGCGCGTGTCGCGTGACGACGTGTCGCGCGTGTCGCGTGACGACGTGTCGCGCGTGTCGCGCGACGACGTGTCGCGCGTGTCGCGCGACGACGTGTCGCGCGTGTCGCGCGACGACGTGTCGCGCGTGTCGCGCGACGACGTGTCGCGCGTGTCGCGCGACGACGTGTCGCGCGTGTCGCGCGACGACGTGTCGCGCGACGACGTGTCGCGCGTGTCGCGCGACGACGTGTCGCGCGTGTCGCGCGACGACGTGTCGCGCGACGACGTGTCGCGCGTCGACGTGTCGCGCGACGACGTGTCGCGCGTGTCGCGCGACGACGTGTCGCGCGTGTCGCGCGACGACGTGTCGCGCGTGTCGCGCGACGACGTGTCGCGCGACGACGTGTCGCGCGACGGCGTGTCGCGCGTGTCGCGCGTGTCGCGCGTGTCGCGCGTGTCGCGCGTGTCGCGCGTGTCGCGCGTGTCGCGCGTGTCGCGCGTGTCGCGCGTGTCGCGCGTGTTCGCGCGTGTCGGCTCGTGTCGCGCGTGTCCGCGCGTGTCGCGCGTGTCGCGCGTGTCGCGCGTGTCGCGCGTGTCGCGCGTGTCGCGCGTGTTCGCGCGTGTCCGCGCGTGTCGGCGCGTGGTCGCGGCGGTGTCGCGCGTGTCGCGTGTGTCGCGCGTGTCCGCGCGTGCGCGCGGGTCGCCGCGTGTCGCGCGTGTCCGCGCGTGTCGCGCGTGGTCGCGTGTCGCGCGGGTCCGCCGCGTGTCGCGCGTGTCGCGCGTGTCCGCGCGTGTTCGCGCGTGTCGCGCGTGTCGCGCGTGTTCGCGCGTGTCGGCGCGTGTCGCGCGTGTCGCGCGTGTCCGCGCGGGCGCGCGTGTCAGGGCGGTGTCGCGCGTGTCGCGCGTGTCCGGCGCGTGTCGCGCGTGTGCAGCGCGTGTCGCGCGTGTCGCGCGTGTCGCGCGTGTTCGCGCGTGGTCGCGCGTGTCGCGCGTGTCGCGCGTGTCGCGCGGTGTCGCGCGTGTCCGCGCCGTGTCGCGCGTGTCCCGCGCGTGTCGCCGTCGTGTCGCGCGTGTCGCGCGTGGTCGCGCGTGTCGCGCGGTGTCGCTCGCGTAGTCGCGCGTGTCCCGCGCGTGTCGCGCGTGTCGCGCGTGTCGCGCGTGTCGCGCGTGTCGCGCGTGTCGCGCGTGTCGCGCGTGTCGCGCGTGTCGCGCGTGTCGCGCGTGTCGCGCGTGTCGCGCGTGTCGCGCGTGTCCGCGCGTGTCGCGCGTGTCGCGCGTGTCGCGCGTGTCGCGCGTGTCGCGCGTGTCGCGCGTGTCGCGCGTGTCGCGCGGTCGTCGCGTGTCGCGCGTGTCGCGCGTGTCGCGGTGTCGCGCGTGTCGCGCGTGTCGCGCGTGTCGCGCGTGTCGCGCGTGTCGCGCGTGTCGCGCAGTGTCGCGCGTGTCGCGCGTGTCAGCGCGTGTCGCGCGTGTCGCGCGTGTCGCGCGTGTCGCGCGTGTCGCGCGTGGTCGCGCGTGGCGCGCGTGTCGCGCGTGTCCGCGCGTGTCCGCGCGTGTCGCGCGTGTCGCGCGTGTCGCGCGTGTCGCGCGTGTCGCGCGTGTCCGCGTGTCGCGCGTGTCGCGCGTGTCGCGCGTGTCGCGCGTGTCGCGCGTGTCGCGCGTGTCGCGCGTGTCGCGCGTGTCGCGCGTGTCGCGCGTGTCGCGCGTGTCGCGCGTGTCGCGCGTGTCGCGCGTGTCGCGCGTGTCGCGCGTGTCGCGCGTGTCGCGCGTGTCGCGCGTGTCGCGCGGTTCGCGCGTGTCGCGCGGTCGCCGTGTCGCGCGTGTCGCGCGTGTCGCGCGTGTCGCGCGTGTCGCGCGTGTCGCGCGTGTCGCGCGTGTCGCGCGTGTCGCGCGTGTCGCGCGTGTCGCGCGTGTCGCGCGTGTCGCGCGTGTCGCGCGTGTCGCGCGTGTCGCGCGTGTCGCGCGTGTCGCGCGTGTCGCGCGTGTCGCGCGTGTCGCGCGTGTCGCGCGTGTCCGCGTGTCGCGCGTGTCGCGCGTGTCGCGCGTGTCGCGCGTGTCGCGCGTGTCGCGCGTGTCGCGCGTGTCGCGCGTGTCGCGCGTGTCGCGCGTGTCGCGCGTGTCGCGCGTGTCGCGCGTGTCGCGCGTGTCGCGCGTGTCGCGCGTGTCGCGCGTGTCGCGCGTGTCCGCGCGTGTCGCGCGTGTCGCGCGGGTCGCGCGTTCGACGACGTGACCGCGCCGCGCGACGACGTGACGCGCCGCGCGACGACGTGACGCGTCGCGCGACGACGACGCGTCGCGCGACGACGACGCGTCGCGCGACGACGACGCGTCGCGCGACGACGACGCGTCCGCGCGACGACGACGCGTCGCGCGACGACGACGCGTCGCGCGACCGACGACGCGTCGCGCGACGACGACGCGTCGCGCGACGACGACGCGTCGCGCGACGACGACGCGTCGCGCGACGACGACGCGTCGCGCGTGCGCGCGTGTCGCGCGTGTCCGGCGTGACGACGTGTCGCGCGTGTCGGCGTGACGACGTGACGAACGTGTCGCGCGTGTCGCGCGTGACGACGTGACGACGTGTCGCGCGTGTCGCGCGTGTCGCGCGTGACGACGTGTCGCGCGTGACGACCGTGTCGCGCGTGACGACGTGTCGCGCGTGACGACGTGTCGCGCGTGTCGCCGTGACGACGTGTCGCGCGTGTCGCGTGACGACGTGTCGCGCGTGTCGCGCGTGACGACGTGTCGCGCGTGTCGCGCGTGACGACGTGTCGCGCGTGTCGCGTGACGACGTGTCGCGCGTGTCGCGTGACGACGTGTCGCGCGTGTCGCGTGACGACGTGTCGCGCGTGTCGCGTGACGACGTGTCGCGCGTGTCGCGTGACGACGTGTCGCGCGTGTCGCGTGACGACGTGTCGCGCGTGTCGCGTGACGACGTGTCGCGCGTGTCGCGCGTGACGACGTGTCGCGCGTGTCGCGCGTGACGACGTGTCGCGCGTGACGACGTGTCGCGCGTGACGACGTGTCGCGCGTGTCGCGTGACGACGTGTCGCGCGTGTCGCGCGTGACGACGTGTCGCGCGTGACGACGTGTCGCGCGTGTCGCGCGTGTCGCGTGACGACGTGTCGCGCGTGTCGCGTGACGACGTGTCGCGCGTGTCGCGTGACGACGTGTCGCGCGTGTCGCGCGTGTCGCGTGACGACGTGTCGCGCGTGTCGCGTGACGACGTGTCGCGCGTGTCGCGTGACGACGTGTCGCGCGTGTCGCGTGACGACGTGTCGCGCGTGTCGCGTGACGACGTGTCGCGACGTGTCGCGTGACGACGTGTCGCGACGTGTCGCGTGACGACGTGTCGCGTGACGACGTGTCGCGTGACGACGTGTCGCGACGTGTCGCGTGTGTCGCGTGACGACGTGTCGCGTGTGTCGCGTGACGACGTGTCGCGTGTGTCGCGTGACGACGTGTCGCGTGTGTCGCGTGACGACGTGTCGCGTGTGTCGCGTGACGACGTGTCGCGTGACGACGTGTCGCGGCGTGTCGCGTGTGTCGCGTCGCGGCGTGTCGCGTGTGTCGCGTGACGGCGTGTCGCGTGTGTCGCGTGACGGCGTGTCGCGTGTGTCGCGTGACGGCGTGTCGCGTGTGTCGCGTGACGGCGTGTCGCGTGTGTCGCGTGACGGCGTGTCGCGTGTGTCGCGTGACGGCGTGTCGCGTGTGTCGCGTGACGGCGTGTCGCGTGTGTCGCGTGACGGCGTGTCGCGTGTGTCGCGTGACGGCGTGTCGCGTGTGTCGCGTGACGGCGTGTCGCGTGTGTCGCGTGACGGCGTGTCGCGTGTGTCGCGTGACGGCGTGTCGCGTGTGTCGCGTGACGGCGTGTCGCGTGTGTCGCGTGACGGCGTGTCGCGTGTGTCGCGTGACGGCGTGTCGCGTGTGTCGCGTGACGGCGTGTCGCGTGTGTCGCGTGACGGCGTGTCGCGTGTGTCGCGTGACGGCGTGTCGCGTGACGGCGTGTCGCGTGACGGCGTGTCGCGTGACGGCGTGTCGCGTGACGGCGTGTCGCGTGACGGCGTGTCGCGTGACGGCGTGTCGCGTGACGGCGTGTCGCGTGACGGCGTGTCGCGTGACGGCGTGTCGCGTGACGGCGTGTCGCGTGACGGCGTGTCGCGTGACGGCGTGTCGCGTGACGGCGTGTCGCGTGACGGCGTGTCGCGTGACGGCGTGTCGCGTGACGGCGTGTCGGCGTGTCCGGCGTGTCGGCGTGTCGCGTGTCGCGTGTGTCGCGTGACGGCGTGTCGCGTGACGGCGTGTCGCGCGTGTCGCGTGACGGCGTGTCGCGCGTGTCGCGTGACGGCGTGTCGCGTGACGTCGCGTGACGGCGTGTCGCGTGACGTCGCGTGACGGCGTGTCGCGTGACGTCGTGTCGCGTGACGGCGTGTCGCGTGACGGCGCGTCGCGTGACGGCGCGTCGCGTGTGTCGCGTGACGGCGCGTCGCGTGTGTCGCGTGACGGCGCGTCGCGTGTGTCGCGTGACGGCGCGTCGCGTGTGTCGCGTGACGGCGCGTCGCGTGTCGTCGCGTGACGGCGCGTCGCGTGTCGTCGCGTGACGGCGCGCCGCGTGTCGGCGCGTGACGGCGCGCGTCGCGTGTCGGCGCGTGACGGCGCGCGTCGCGTGTCGGCGCGTGACGGCGCGCGTCGCGTGTCGGCGCGTGACGGCGCGCGTCGCGTGTCGGCGCGTGGCGTCGCGTGTCGGCGCGTGACGGCGCGCGTCGCCGCGCGTCGCGTGACGGCGCGCGTCGCCGCGCGTCGCGTGACGGCGCGGGACGGCGCGTGACGGCGCGTGACGGCGCGTGACGTTCGTGTGACGGCGCGTGACGGCGCGTGTCGCGCGACGTCGCGTGACGGCGCGTGACGGCGCGTGTCGCGTGACGGCGTGTATCCGTGTCGGCGTGACGGCGTGTATCCGTGTCGGCGCGTCGCGTGTATCCGTGACGACGCGTCGCTCCCCGTGGTCCCCCGCGCGCAGGATCTTTGGGCACGAGGGCAACGCGGCGCAGGACGTGACCTACGTCAACTGGCTGTCCATGGTGCGCGCCGGCGTGCTGGCGCTGGAGTTCTACACGCCGGAGACGGACACCTGGAGACAGGTGCCCGGGTGCCAACCGCGTGTCTTTCCCCCCCCCCCGCCCCTCCCCCCGCACGTGCCCCACCCGCAGGGAATACACACGTTCGTGTAGATACTTGACTTTGCCCTGCTCACGGGGGTGGCGTGAGTACGGTGCTGGTGCGCACCGCCTCTCCTGCTCCTCTCTCCACCACTGCCCCGGTTTCTTTGCCCCCGGTTTTGCTGTCTCCATGCCTCCGCATCTCCATGCCTGGGCATCTCTCGATCCCCATGTCTCTGTGTCTCCGTGTTACTGCGTCAATGTGTTTCTGTGGTTCCTGGGCCCCATGCCCCCAAGCTCCATGTCCCATCTCATTTGTATACTCATGCCCCTGTTGCCCATGCTTTGTTTCACCCACGTACCCATGTTTCTGTTTTGGTTAAATCTCTCGTGTTCCATGTCCTCTCTGCCCCCTGTGTCCGTGCTGCTGCAGGCTCACATGCAGGCGCGCTTCGTGATCCTGCGGGTGCTGCTGCAGGCGGGCGGTGGCCTCGTCAACGTGGAGCACACGGTGGGCGCAGACGGGCGCCCCGATGCGCGCATCTCGCTCGACCGCGCCAAGATCCCCACCGTGGGGCGTACCGCCATACACGACTTCCTGCTCAAGCTGCAGGTGCTGCCACGGCGCGCATGGCACGCGGACCACGGCGTGCATGGCACGCGGACCACGGCGTGGCACGGCACGGCAAAATAAGAACGCTCTCCGAATGTCGGTGTAGCTGCCCTGAGCCGTCCTGCTCGACCCAGTGTTGTCGCCCATCAAACCCGCCCTTCGCCCGGTCTTCGCACAACAGCGTGACCCCGTGAACTTGAACCCCCCGCGACCCTGCCACACCCCCGCTCCTCCCGCAGGTGTACAAGTCGACGGCGGACGTGGACGCCGGACGGGCGCTGTACGCGGCGCTGTCGGCCGTGAATGATGACACGGAGCTGCGATTCCTCGCGCTGCGCGACACCGTGATGCTGCGCAAGGAGCCGCGCAAGATGTTCGTGCAGGTGAACACGGCGCTGAAAGGTGAGCAGGTGGCGCGGCACGATGGCTCGCGTGGCCGCCACACTGCGGTGAAACCCCTTTGCCGCACCTGTGCCATCTCCCATTACGTCGTGCACAAATCGCGAGGATGCAGTTTTTCTGGAGGTGAAATTTAACGACAACCTTTCAAAAGCCTGGGTCGGGTGAGTCGCCGCATGCCATTCGGACGGTCGCCAACGGTGGGGGGGGGGGGGGGGGGGGGGGAGTACAGTGTTGGGGTAGAGTGTGCAATATACCCGCGCGTTCGTTTGTTCTAGGGGGTGTGCAGGGGAGGGGGGCCACTCATTTGAGACTTGTGGGCATGCTAGGGTGCGCTAATGGCTGTTGTTAACAGCTGTTTTACCCTGAGCCCATCCCAGGGTGCTTGACCCTCAGAACCTCGTGCTTCCGGCGTACAGTTACCCGTGACCGATGCGAGCGGCGTGGTGGTGTAGTTTTTGGTGCACTGTACTCGGAAATCCGGCGACCCGAGTTGGGTTCCTGGCCGTGGCCAACATGGGTGGCGCGTGATATCTGAACTGGTCCTGGCCCCACCCACGGTGACCAATGCGGTGAAATATGGGGCAAACAACTCTCTTGACCGACACGGCATGGAGGAGAGTCATCCAATGAATCGACTTGACAAAAGGGTTTTATATTATTTAAGTTCTCGTGAGCACTGCACCACGTATTTGCGCTGGATCCACATCAAAGGTGGGCGGGGGGATGGTGGGGGGGGGGTAGTTAGGGGGGGATAGTGGTGGTGGCGGGGGGGGGTCGGTGGTGGGTGGGGGGGGGCGTGACGACGTCAGCGCGATGCTGGAGCCCGGCTCGACGCTGTGGGGGTACAAGGGACGCCCCCGCCCGCGTTCCGGACAGCAAAACATTTTACTCGTAGAGTGTCACGTGTGATTATCGTGGCAGATGGGTGCAGTAGCGTGCTCCTCCCACAACCCCTGAGGAACAACAGTAATCGTTAACATCGGATGCCCCGTGGCAAAATAACGAGGAGAGGAGCCAATTGGAGGGGGTGTAGCGCTGATGAGCGAGAGGGCGCGGCGCGAGATCGTGGAGGGCGCGGCGCGCGGCTGCGTCGCTAAACAAAAACCCCGGAAGTTTTTTTTATTTGCGCAAATTCGCGGGCGGATCGATAAAACGCAATAACTCGAAGGTCGAGAAGTGCCGCGGACCCTCGTGCCAAACCGGGGGGTTTTCATTTCACCACCGGTGGCTCTGGCAGTGGTGATGGACTGCGCTGCCACCTCGCTTGGCGTCAGAAAGGCCAGACTGACGCACGCGCGCGCCAACCTCCCACGGCTCGCGGCTCCCGGCAAAGTTCAATCGGCGCTCTGACATGGCATTTAATAAGTGATGGCGACCGGCGGTCCCGTCTCCCGACACCACAAACGGGAAGTCGCCGCTATTATTCTCCTTGTAGTCGTGTCGTAGAAACGTAACGTCACGCACGCTGCCAATGGGACGTTCACGATTTCTTTGTCGTTTGTGTGATACGTGGGGTGCGTGGAGCTATGAACCCGCGAACCGAATTTTGTTTCGTTTCCCAGTCGCAGCTAAGATCAGTGGCGAGTGAAAATCCCCCCCCCCCCTGCCCTCTGCTTTACCAACCCATACTGACCAGCGTGGTGAAGTATGGTCAAACAACCCCCATAACGGCACGGGGGGGGGGGGGGGAGGAGAGACTTGTCCTTTGTCCAGCGGTGTTTTAACGACGGGCTTGCTACATCGGACGGTGATCCGGTTGCACGTGTACCACCGCCATGTTTACCAAGTCTTTAGGATTTCTTTCGGCGGACTCGTTGCTACTGCTCACAGCAGCCGTCGGGCACGTTGCTGGGGGCTCTCGGCTTTCCGTGTCAAGTCCCCCAAGAAACACGGTCTTGGCTGCCGCATGCAGCGGCGGGAGAGTTCAAACGGCTGCGCCGGCCGACGCTTGCCACCTCCCGCGGTGCGAGGGGCGAGTGTTTCGGTTCCGAGAAATCCAACGGCAGTCGAGGATCTCTCCGTGAGCAGCAGCTGAAGGCCGGTTCCGTGTGCATCAGCCTCGTATAGCCACCAAAGTTCTGGTTTTACTAAGCAGGAGCAGCAACTCCTGCTTAGTAGCAGCTCCTGCTCATTAACCCCCCCCCCCCCCCCTCCTTGAGTCTTGATTCACGGTCTCCGTCACGGACGAGTCTCGCTTGTCGAGTGCGAGCCTGTCGTCACGTGCGCGCGTTATGTTAATTGAGCGTAATCTTGAACGCGATTTTTCAAAATGCGTTTTCTCGTTCGTTCGAGAACAATTTGTGCAGGCAAAATCTAACGCTCTCGCATTCATTAATCCAACTGCAAAGATGAAAAAAAGCTTTTTTCTTCGAAATTTTCACACCATGAACGTCGGCAACTACAGAAGCTTAATTGCCGGGAGCCCCTTTCATCATCGAGTTGTCGCGTTCGCAGCACGGGAAAAAATGATGGTGCGTAGGGTGACCTGCTTTTATCCAGTGTCTTAATGGCAGATTCATATCAAAGGCTGAGGGAGGGGAGTGTTGGAGAAGCGGCGCCCACCGGACTGCCGTCGCGGGAAGGCACACAGGTGCTCATGTTGCGGTATCACCTAGTGACAATGATGTCATTGCCACATCTCCGCCAATTTGTGTTTCTTTATTCAGAATATTGGTGGGTCGGTAGTCGGGTTGAGATTGACGACTGCTACATGGGGAGTAAAACTTTGCAGCGGTTCGTCGGGGAGAATCCATTCCCACGCTCACGTCGAGGTACGTAGATCGTACACTAACGACGTGCAGATGTTGCTGTTGGGCGAATGGGGCAAAACAAAACTGCAAACGCGACAAAACGAAAATGAGAAACAGTACCGACAGGATTGTAAAAACGAGACAAAAAATAACTCTTGTGAAGGTGAACGGGTTTGTGCTGGTTAGTATGGACACGTGCAAAGCCGTTGCCTGCTTTTCAATGGGTCCACAACATCAAAACGATGTCAACACTGCTGGTGGCTGATAATGATGGTGGTGTGCAGACACAGGACATTAGCAAACTGAATTAAGGAGCCGACAAGGCAGTCCTTTGATCGAGCCGTCGCTCTGTCTGTCAAAAGTGAGTCGTGCGCACGTGTGCCCCTTAATTGCGCAAAGACGTGCGCCTGCCTCGGGGGTGGCTGGCACCCGCTCGGAGCCTGGGTTCTAATCCAGGCAGCTGCCCTGTGATCGAACCGAGAGCCCTTTTTGGAGCGAGTCGATGGTCGCAGACTAATCGCCAATGACTGCAAAAGAAAACCCTTAGCTTTACATTTTGTTTTGCACTTAATTTAGCTAGACCTCCGAGAATGAAAACCTATCGATTTGACAGTCATCGGATGAACATTCATCTGTAGCAGGGCCGGTGGGAATTTCTGCACCCCCCCCCCACCCCCCCCTTCATTGTGTGAACCAGAGTTCACGTGTAACGAGCTTGGACGTAGCTCTGTGAAGTCCGCTTCTGTGAGCCCTTCTCCAACACGATGGGTGGCACTGCCAGTGCGTATTTGACACGACACTGATGGGACGATGGCTGTAAAAATTGGTGGAGAAGACGACGTTTCTTTCATCAGGGGAACAATGCCGGGTGTGGGCACTGCTCGGAGTGAAGCGCGGGCATCGGGGAAACAGAATGCCGGGCTTGCCAGTGCAGGCTGCACTGTACAAACTAATCCTCACTGCGCATTTCGACCGATACGAATCGCTCGTGCGAGTCTGCCTCCTGAACTCTGCGCCCAGCGGATGTCCCGGGAGGGGGAGGGGGGGGCACAGCCCAGTAAACGAGCAGCTGCAGATGTTGCCTGGTTGACGAGGATGGTGGATGCGGTGTCACCTGGCAGCCCCATGTGTTCCGTTGGCTGGGGAATTGGTGATTTGTGCCTTGCCCGTGGTCTGTTCTAGTGAGGTGGTGGGTAGAGGCCACGAATGAAATTTGGAACGATCGGTTTTTGGACCAGTCACAAACCGAAAAAAAAACAGTAAATCGATAGAACTGGGGTACCACGTGGGTTGGTTCCGTCAAACCTTCCTCCCTCCCCACCCCCGCGCTGACCCCCCTCCTCCTCTGCCCCCCCCCCCCTCTGCCGCCTGCGCTCAGCGTGGCGCGTTTGGTGCCTCCGTTATGGCAGCAGTGCCCGCCGTGTAATTGTAACGGACGGCGCCTCCGCCGCCGTAAACCTCCGGGGCCCCCTCGCCGTGGATGATGGAGGTCCGCACGTGGGACGGCATGGCAAATAATGCCGCGTCGTAAACGCACCGCGCGCATCTTAATCTTCCCCCGGCCTTCCGTCAAAGAGGGCTCTCGGTCTTCGTTACGGCCGATGGTGCTCATGCTTCGTGACGTCCTGTCGCTCGCTTGCCGGCGCCCAATGTTGGATTTCTGGGTGGGGGGGATGGCGAGCGGGGGCAGTGGCCTGACGGGGGGCTGGTTAGGGGGGCTGCACAGGTCCAGCAAGCTGGGATTGGTGGGGGGGGGGGGGGCGAGCAAGGAGAAATGGCGCGGCACCCTTCACACTCCTTCACACTCCTTCACACTCCTTCACACTCCTTCACACTGCTCGGCAGCGTGGGACCAGGATCCGGCTGTGCGACTCGCTCGCCGCACGCCGTGACCGCGGAACGCTGGGGGTTTCCGTGGGGGGGGGCTGTGTTGGCTGAGGGGTCGTACCCCCCCCCCCCCGGGCTTCCCCGGCTTCCCCCCCCCCCCGGGCTTCCCCCAACAACCACGGGCCCAGCGCTACCTGCGAGCCACCTCCCTCCTCGCGGACCTGCGGCGACTCCGACCCCGTGCAGCGTCCCAGGCAATGGTTGACAAGACGTCTCTCCATTTGTACAGATTTTTACGCGCCCCATTTACCCCAAAATTGCTGCGAGTGTAGCATTTGCGACATTGTCGATTGGGTAGGTTTTTGTTGAGAGCAGGCAGATTATGTGAATGAAGATAATCGTTAAGTGCGTTACGCGGCCAAC